AGAAGAAGAAGAAGAAGAAGAAGAAGAAGAAGAAGAAGAAGAAGAAGTCGTCCTTGGTGCTTTCTGGGCTTGTTTTCTTGCAGACATTTCATTAACCAAGCTAGGTTATCAATGCTAGTTCAAGACATATATGAACCTTTTCCAAATCTTATACAGGTATCACTATTTTACAGGTTTGTTTTTAAAGTCTCCTTCTATAAAATCTATAGTAGGGCAGTTTCGGGTTAAAAAAACCCCAAATTTAGGGTTTTGGTTTTTTTAATTGCTAATTTTGGGTAGCTCAGTGTGTCATTTCCAACTCCTTTTGCTTCTTCCAGATTCCCTAAAGAAGAGACCCCACCGCTCCCTCTCTCCTTCATTATTACACGGCCATCCAACGTGAGCTAGGCAGATTTAAAATCGAGATGGATTTAAACATCCTCAACGTGCCAAGCACCTGCTTCTTTCTGACAGCTTCCTGCGCCACATGGAAGAACATGGTGAAACCATTTTCTTCTCCATGTTCCCCCCCATTAAAAAAAAAATTGCTCAGGAACATTAGAGAAATCACAGATGACAATGCTGCTTGCAACAAAAATATTTTTCATTTCCTCCTTTACATAATCGGTTTTTCACAAGGAGGGGGAAGAACAGATGGCAGATGACTTTGTGTGTTATTAAAGCACGTGTAAGCCCCCGTTGGGTGTGAATGGGCTTCGATGCATGGGCCATAATTAATGTGGGATGAGGTTTAAAGGTTTCCATCCTTCTGACCGCATGGCAAGTTAAAATTTCTGGTGGTGGTTGTTGTTTTTTAAAGGAAAAAAAAAAAGCAAGCACGAGATTTTTGCATCTTGGCTTGGCTGAAACCTGAATCCTAAAAAACTAGCCCGTTCTAAAGGATGCTCAGGTTAGGAATCAATTAGCAGACAGCAAACCCCTTTCTCTGTCAGCACTGATGATGTTACCTACTTGGGTGGTGAAATGTCTGCAAGAAAACAACCAAGGTCTTTTACAAAACCCACCGCCAACGTTTCGTAACAGGCTTTCAATGCCTCATTGTTTTTGATATTTTACAGCTTGTGGACAAGTCGGGGAGAAACTTCAAAGCAGCAACTTTTCCACTTAATTGAAAAACGTCCATCTTTCTGGGAGCTAGCTGTTGTTAAAAATGGTGGTCCCAGTAGTTCTGTACAGTGAACCCTGTAGCAAATAAATCTGATTAAATACAGGTAATCCTTGGCTTACAACAGTTTATTTTGTGACCATTCCAAGTTATAAAAGGGACTTACGGCCCGTTTTTCATACTTAACTACCATTGCAGCATCCCCGTGGTCGTGTGATCAAAATTCATGGGAAATAAAAAGTTACCCATTCATTTCTATCCATTTTATGTTGTAAGCCGCCCAGAGATGTTGGATGGGTGGCAAATTTCATAATAAACAAACTTAATAGTGTTGGGTGAGGGGGAAGTTGACGTCTTCTCTTTTCCCCTTTTGAGATGCCAGGAGGAATGGCTGCAGGAAGGGATAGAAGCAAAATAGGAAGATAATCTTGTTTTTAGTTGCTGTTTCTCTCTCTCCTCTCTGCCTGATTTTTCCTTTCTTCTTTCTCTTTTCTCTTCCTGCCTCTTCTCCTTTCCTTCCATCTCTCCTTTCCTTTCATCTCTTCCTTCTGTCTCTTCATCTCTCTCTCTCTCTCTCTCTCTCTCTCACACACACACACACACACACACACACACAGAGTTTCAATATGAGCTATTTGCAACACAGCAGCATCAGTAATGGAAGAATAAATTACCACTTGTCCTTCCGATCCAAGAACACAGTTACTCACACATAAATTGTGTTGCAAACAGCCACAGGACCGCCCTTCTAGAATTCTCCTCAGACTTAAGTGCAAAGATTTTATGCCTTCTCATATGCTTTTACTGGAAAAGGGCTGTGTGTTTGTGTGTGTGATTGTGGCACTGGAAGGCAATGGAACCGAATCTAACTGCCCAAGGAATCCAGCTGCATGCAAACAAAGCTAGAGTATTAAACCCGTTATCTTTCTCCTGTTGTTGTTTCTTTTGTCAGCGTGAAGTGTTTTGACAATTTGTCGAGAAGGCAGGCTTGTTGAAGTGACAACTGGAGGAGAGGGAATCTCAACACACACAAAAACACACACAAGCATGCAGGGGCTAGCCAGGAGCTTTAAACCTTTAAACGGGCTTCAAATTTTGCAGCCTCTCGAAACAACAAAGCGAAGAAAGCTTCAAACGAAATTTGTGGTTATTTATTAACACTTAGGAACAAGTTGGGGTCTCACTCACCCCCACACTTACACAAAAAGGGATGTGAGGCTCTTTGCAAATACTGAAAAGAAAATATGAACTGACACCTTTGCAAGTAACTTTACTCAATTTCAGCATAAATATTGCAGGATGTATATGAAAGAAAGAAAGAGACAGAGAGGGAGGGAGGGAGAGAGAGGAGGGGAGGGGAGAGGAGGAGAGAAGAAAGGAAAGAGGGAGGGAAGGAAAGGAAGGGAGAGGGGAGGGAAGGGAGGAGAGGAGAGGAAAGAGGGAGGGAAGGGAAGAAAACGGAGGAAAGGGAAGGGAAGAGAAGAGGGAGGAAAGGGGAGGGAAGGAAGGAAAGAGGGAGGGAGGGGAGGGAGGAGAGGAAAGGAAAGAAAGAGGAAAGGGAAGAGGGAAGGAAGGGAAGGGAGAGGAGAGGGTAAGGGAGGAGAGGAAAGATAATAAAGGAAAGGAAAGGAAGGGGAGAGAAGAGGGAGGAAAGAAAAGCTTTACACATATACAGTATAATAGCTGTATAAAGCATATGATTCAAAACCAAGCTACAGTTCAATGCACACATCCTATCTCCTGCAGAAGAGAAAACTTGGTTCAAATTAGCTGGCCCAAATTCCAGACCTCACCCTCTCTAAAACCCCACTCTTATTCCAGACTGTTGATACCAAGACCAGTCTCTACAATAAATAAAGACAACACGAAAGCGTGCCTCGCTTGTGGGATTTCGTTCAAGGTCAACAGAACGGAGAGAAGAGTTAGAAGGCTTTCATATTCACAGCCCCGATAAAGCTATATAGTTTTTCGTTTTTCAATCCTCAAAAGGGGTTAATACTGACAAGCATTTTTTTTAAAAAAGAAAAAGAAAAATCAGTAGACGTGGATCCAGATATAGAACATGACTGCCTGTACTTCTGGAGTTATATAATATATGCCAAAAGCTGAATATAAATGGCTTGATGCAAATATATGATTAATCACAGCTACTTGGATGGCCTCTGGTTTGACTCCCAGGCACAAAACATATTGATGATCCTCAGCAAGTCTCTACCTTTGTCCAAGTAGTCTTCCACTTACGACAATTTAGTGACCGTTCAAAGTTACATCGGCAGTGTGGAAAAGGCAGTTTATGACCCATTTTTCGCACTTACGACCGTTGCAGCATCGCCTGATCAAAATTCAGCCGCTTGGCAAACTGGTTCATATTTATGGCGGTCGTAATCCCCGGGGGTCCCTTTTGCAACCTTCTGGCAAGCGAAGTCAATGGGGGAAGCCAGATTTCACTCAACAACCGTGTGGCAAACTTATCCACGGCGAGGGATTCACTTCACGGCGGTGGCCAGAAAGGTGGTAAAATGGGAACAAAGCTTACTTGACAAATGTCTCACTTAACAACGGAATATTTGGGGGCTCCCAATTTTGTAAGCCGAGAACCACCTGTATCTGAAGTCCCAAGTCTCCTCCGGGTTGAGGCTTGGTTGACTTCAGAAGACGGATCTGTGTCGTTTTTCTTGGCAGCCCTAAACATGGAGCTTGCCTTCGTCCTCCTGCAGTTATGGAAACGTGCTGTGAAATGAACAATTTATGTATCTCCTGAGAATCTGGTCTGTTATTCTTTGTAAAAAAACAACCACCAAGTTTCTAGTCCTTGGCGTTGAAAAGACACGCGTTTGAAAAAGGCATATGGTGACACAGCCCTTGTTTAAT